ATAGTTTCTCTGGCAACCTTATGATTTCTCTAAATTACATGCTTGATTTAATTCATAGTCATTTGTTTGGGAAGAATATTACATATGTACTGGTGTTAAATTCTATCATTATTCTTATAAAATATAATAAAAATAAGTATGGGATATAATAAAATAGAAAGAGAAAAATCTGATCTTAAAAGAAAAGAACTGGATCCAGAATCATATATTTTGAAAGATAAAGTTGTTTCTAATTAAAATGGAAAGGGTCTTATGAAGGTGCTGTAGTGGTTAAAGTTAAATTAGAACAGGTCTTGGACATGTGAAATTTGTAGTACCACTTCGTAGTTTACCAGTACCAGTGAATGCGACTATGCCATTGATTGATGTGTAACTGACAAAATTGACACTAATCTATACGATATAATTAATAATTCAACAAATATTTGTCAAAGGCTTACTTAGCAAACATCATTGGTAGCACAGATATATGTCAAGATCAGTCTAACTATTTATAAGCCTTGGCTGTTGCAGCTTGTGTCTAGTTTTTCCCCCAAAGTCTCACGCAGTGACAGGTAAGGCTTTTCAGAGGTGGCTGGACCTAGAATGCAGATTGACTTGTGGTGTAGTGATAGGGTTCAGGGTGCTATGATTAAGGGTGTGATTGTTACCTGCCCTTAAGGTAGCATATAAGGGACTGAAAAGGTTACTTATTTGCCACTTTCTTGTTGACTTCTGCCTGCCGTGAAGTCGTGAAGTGTTTCTCCCTGCAATGCCCCTCTGCCACACCACCCTGCCTTGGAGCTAGCCCATTATGGACTAAAACCTCTACAAACTGTGAGCTAAATAAACCTTTCCTCGTTTAGCGCTGGGTGTTGGGTATTTTGTCTCAGCAATGAGAGAAAAGTAACAAAGACACTTGTTATGTGTAAAAAAAAATGTGTAGTTCCATGTGTAAAAAAACATTATTAAAAAACGTGGTCAGAAGGCCTATGAAAGATAATAATGGCTCTCATTTCATAATGGCACTGATTGTAGTTGATGTTTAAGAAGATCAAAGGACACTCTCCTATCTGATTGACATATATTATGAAAGTGAATAAAAGATACCAAGGATCACCATCCACACCTAGACTCTATTCCCATATCTTGTCTATAAGCATATGTTGCGCTGTGGAGAGGCTTTCCTGGCATCAACAGTGATTTGGCCGTATGACTTCTAACCTCAGTGACTCCCTACAGCCGTGTATAAATTGCGTCTAACTTTTTCAAAATAAATACTTACTAAGGATAAAGAAAAATGAAGATGATCCAAATAAAGTATAATTTTAATATTCTACTTTAATCAAAACTAATTATATTGACATGTTTAGTTATAAGCATTCCTTTTCCTTCCATTTTTCTCATCCTACATTGCCTACTGGATACTTGCTAATGTCATTCCAGCTTATAGCTTAATAATAATCTCAAAGTCACTTCTTGGACTTTAAAGGGCTTTAACCCATGCCAGAATCTGACTCTTACACTTTTGGAATAAAATCGGTTATTAGAGAAATATTGCATCAGATCAAACCATTTCATTTTCTATACTGGGTATTCCCTTTCTTTGTCAAAAATGTATTCAATAGCTATAATTAAATAGGATCTTCAACTTTGTTAAAATTTGTCATTGGCCTCTAATTTCCCATGTTAATATATATGCCTGTAGTCTTATTTTTGGTGATCCATGAAGGCTGATACCCTCTTGCACTGGACTAGCCCTGTCTTGTTCCAGCCTTTGTTAATAGCCACACCAGAAACTTTGAGTTTACATACTGTGCTCTTTCATCTTGATAGGATGTCCTGTGAAGATTCTGTTTCCCAACTGAACAACACCTACAATTCTCAGGTCATTTGTGGAGAGATATGATTCAGTCCATCCTGGTTGGAGTGAGTACAGTAATACTTTAGTTCACAAGCACTTCTGTTTGGAGCAATTTGGTTTGTGAACAGAAGCATTCTTCAAAACTTCACTTCTTTGGCAAACTCCACACTGGCTGATGAACATGACTAGAGTTCAGGTTCCCCAGAGTTGTGGAACAAATTAAGCTCATGAGCTGAGGCACCACTGTATAGTACTTATTCCTGCTTTTCCATGTTCTCTTTCCATCTCTCACCACTCAAGATGCCCAATTAGAATAATATATTTAAATATGAAATATGTTCAACAGATTATATGAGAAACAATCAATATATTTTTACAAATAATAAATATTACTGTTTTAAAAACAAAAAAGCTTTATTATTTTTAGAACTAAATCAATAGTTAAAATTATATTAATCTAAAAGTATACAACAGTTGCACCAGTTTATATAACTTATGAATCTACAGGTACAAAGTGTTGTGTCAGCAAATGCTCCTGTATTTTGACAAGTTGTTTCTAACAGTAAAGTAACTGAATGAAATGGAAAAACTTGGAGCCAGTCATAAGCAATGACCTATTTTATTGCCACTAACAAGAGACATTTTACTAAGGTATGTATTAGATCAGCATGTTAAAATATATAGCTATGATTACTGAGTGCTCTATAAATGCTATTAACACCCCAAATCCTATTAATCTATTTGCAGCTATACATAATTATTATACTTTCCTTAAAGGAGAAGTACTATATAAACAAGTAGTGTAGTTAGAGGAATAATTCAGAAATGCTAACAAAAACACATGAGCTCATGGGAAAGCTGAAAACTTTTTGCCCACTTGCACAGAGGGAAAGAATTTTGAAGATATAATCCTACAAAAGTTCATTTTGATATGTCTCATTCAAAGATAAAACTATTATATTATTAATATACTAAAAGTAAATATTTTATATTAAAATCATACCTTTTGTGTTAGATACATATTTCAATATAGTGCACTAAAATAATCACTCACTTGTTTGTATCCTTCTACTTTTGCCTTTTTTGGTCTAGGGCACCAGGATTACAAAGGATCATGACTATGTCACATTCCTGGCACTCAAAGTTTTATTACGATACACAACAAAACCGTAATATTGGCATTAATGTTAAGGTGCTTACGTTTTCTATGGAATGAACTAGAACCATTGTATAAGGCAGGGGAGTCCAGGAAGTCTTAATCCCATTAGTTCTGTGTAGAGAGATGTGAGGAAATTGAAAGGGTGAAAAATATGAGGAGAGGCAAAGATATTCCATGAGTTTCATAGAGCAGAAAAATCCAAGAAAGCAGAAAGATAACTTTAGACAGGAATAAACATACTATGTTTGAGTAGCTATGGATATTTTATGGGTTAGGACACACTAGCTGAGTTTAAGGTGATAGTAAAGAGTAAGACTAGAGAGAATATCAAGGACTGATTCAGGATCATGTCAAATGTGAAGAAGAGTGTAGGCTACTTTCTGAAACAGAAACTTGTGTTCATGTGTACCCGTGTACGGAGGGTGTGTTAGGGGAAAGGGAGAGTTGGGAGGAGGATAGTATGTCTGTCTTTCAGAATGACTCCTGTTAGAGTGTAGAAGTTGGCATGAGCGAGTGTGCAGGACAGAGAGAAGTAATACAGAAAGTCTAGTTCCGAACTCATGTGGAATTGGTGAGGAGACTAAATGATATGTGTACAAAGAAGGAATAATTCCCAAGAGAATTAACCAACTAGGAATTATTATGCACGAGTAAATGTAGAAAAGGAACCAAAACAAGCTCACCTAGATTTAAGTTTATACTTTCCGATGTAGTGTTTATTTGGAAAGGTGATAAGCAGTCCAGGAGGAGCATCAGGTACCTGTTCAGTAGCAGATCGAGAAGACAATGCCTCAAGCAGGGAATAAGCAGACGTTTGACATGGGAGTACAATAGGACACGTTTTACCTAATTCACAATGTGACCTAATGATGGTTCCAAATACATTATTAAATGAGGAAGATAGGATAAAGAATCTCTCCAAGAATTCATGATTTCAAATTCATATACATGGATCACAGGTGCTCTAGCTCTCTCTCCCTGCATTAACACTTCCCTGGAAATAAAATCTGAATGGATCAAAATAACAACAATCATCGATTTTTCCATATGCATTTATAATTTGGCCGAGGCTCATTTAAGACAGTTCATGTAATTCTGAACATCTGGAAATTGAGCGGGGATAACTGAAATCTTTAAGTATTAAAACAAATAAAGTTGGTTAGGCCTCTGTCTTCCTCCTTGTCTTCCCCTTTCTTTCAAAAGGGAATTTCTTGACCCTCCATGTGATTTCTTCAATAGTGAGATTTCAGGGTAGTTTAGTTTCTTACAAGACATCTCAATGACCTAAATATCAATATTCTAAGAAATCTAGTAGAAGCCACAAGGTTTTTTTTTTTAGCGAGCCTCTGACACTAAACAATATCACTTCTGCAGTCTTCTATTATTCTAAAAAGTAATTACAGACAGGCCTAAATGAGCAAGCATGGAAATCACACTCCACATCTCAAAATAAATTTTGAGAAATGTTTTTGGCTTCCTTTAATTTACACAGAAAACAGCATTTCACCAGAGAAGGGTACTGTGGGTTAATATTTTTAATTCATTCCCCTGAAACAGAATACCTCTTCCATTTTCAAAGTTGAAAGATAATTAAGGCTATCATAATACAACTATAAATCATTTACTCATTGTAAGCTGTGGACCAATAAATGACTGAGGCTGATTTTACTAAGGAAATAACCAGCTTGTCCTACTGACTGCGACCAGCTTCTGTGCATTGTGAACAAAGTGCCTGGCTACAATAATTGCTATAGGGAAGATATCATTTATATCCCAAGAAATCTGAACATTCTATTAGTCATTTCAGCATGATGGATGGAAATATCTAAAGTGACAGATGAAGCATGCAAAATGTTAAAACATCCAAGAGAGTAAAGGTTAAGAGCAGTGTTAATTGAACTTGCCCCTGTCGGAGGAATGAGGAGCTAAAAGTGCACAAGGTCCCTGTTTAGAACAAATTTGTGCTGAGAAGAGAAAGCCAGGATGCCCAGTAATTACCTGCAGTCAGAGCTCTTCTTTAGGCATGGAATGCAGTTAGTCAGGACTGCGATTTTAAAGAGTACAGCAAAAGCCAAGTTTCAGGGAGCACACAAAGTGTTCAGGAGTCTTGGGCCAAAAAGTTGGTGGGTTTTGCATTATTTTGCAAACTCAATGTCTTTGCCATGCATGTGTCAGAGCTGAACACTTCCTGCATTAGACAGGAAGGAATTTTCCCAATAGTAAGCAGAACTTGATGTTGGAATGCTGTAGGAGTGGACTTTAAAATAGAATAAAAGCCACTTGTCAGTTGTCATTGTGTTTGGAAACTGGAATGAGAGACATGTGATTTTGTTCTAGAGTTTGGTTATCATACACAATAGAGACATATCAAAGTTTAAATATTAATCTGAAGGTTTGGTTTACAGAAATGAAAGCATATGTAGATTTTAGTATTTTGATTTTAAATTTTTACATTTTTTTACACAAAGTGGACACATTCTAAAAGTTTTTGAAGAAAAGAGTAATTTTTCTAACCTGATCTTTGTATGATTTTTGAAAACAACTGTAGCTCTATTCCAAAAGAATGTTAATGTACGTTTTTCCTGTTTGATATTTTCAAAAACATACAATAGTCTGTTACCAGTAACAATGTTAAATAATAATAATGTTTTTATTTCCATGGCAAATTTATTGAGATTATAATCAAGGTCATGGTATAGAAAAATATTTTAGAAATCAACAAATGATTTTGGATGTTAAAATGCTTACTTTAAATATTCTGAAATATTGAGGTAAGAGGTTAAACAATAGTTTCAGCTATTTAAATAGGTTAAAATATTAAAATAGGAACAATGTTTCACTGCCCTAAGGTTGTATCTAAGGAGTTCACTAGATCAACATTTTGTAATCCTCATTTATTCTTCACCCAATTCTTAAAGATTAAGCAAACAACATGCATCAGGCCTAAATTTAATGTCATAAAAATGAGCAGGAAGAATGTGTCCAAAAGGGAGCGGAAGTGTTCAGCAGTGAGAGAGGTAACAGAAGGGACGGATATCACAAAAGGAAGAATAAAATTCAAAGCGGAAACATATCAGAAAACTTAACCTGGTCCCGAACTGAAATGCAGATATGTTAGCTGTTCATTAACCTCTAGTGAACCTGATAAATGACACTACTTTTTTGTGAGATCAAACTTTAAATGTCTAGCTACAGTTCCAACTATAAAGAAAAGCCAAGACTGGTTTATTTACCTAAACATAAATTAATGCAACTTCATCATTTTGAGTTATTACACATGGACAATTTAATGAGTAGCAAATGTATTTAAGGAAAAGAATATTGTAGCCAGGATAAACCTCAATAGCTTCAGAAGAACAAATGGTATAATCAATAGTGTGAAATAGGAAGAAAATGGCTAAAGGGGAAGAGGGAAGGGGAGGGGAGAGGAAATAAGGGAAAAGAAATCTAATTTTTTATAACTCATAGAATGAGGGTGTGTAATTTCTTTTGAATCATGAATCTTGACCCCAAAATTCTGGTTGATATGTGCACAATTATGTTCACTTAGTATTCTTCCTTATGTTACATTTCCTCAAAGGTTGTGATACAGGAAAAATACAGGGTATGAAATCTGAAATATTATATCTCCTAACCTGTTACTTATTTGATACACTGAGCTTGTGTTCTCTAAAATTCAAAGAATAAATTCTAAGAACAATGGAGGTTAAGAGTAGGAAGGTACCTATTGATAGAATAGCTCGTGAGAGGCAAGACGGGACCCAAAGGGGTAGCCAGGGACCCCACTCTACAGAGGAGTTTCATGGGGTGAAACCCCATGGGTAAAGGTGGACCACAGCCATGACTAACAAGTAAGATTACAAGTATAGTCACTTAGGTACGACTGGTCCAATTGGGAAATAAGTCATGCAACACAGTTAGATGGGAATAACAAAGACTTCTAGGAAATGGTGAATTCAGAAGTCTCCGGTAACCCACTGGGGTTACTGATGTCTACCTAGATTTCATTAGGCCCAGTGTTTGTTCTTTGAGCAAATCTGCAGATCTGCTCATCTTGTCTTTATCTTGAGACTCAGTCTCCAGCAGATTTTTCTCCTCACAGTTCTGGTGGGTTTCACCTTTGTTCTGACCCTCTTGAAGACCTAGCTCTAACTGACTGCCTATATTTCTACCTCACTCAGCCGTCTATAATAGTTGCACTCTGTTGCAATAGCAATGAAAATGCAATGTACAACTGGAGAAATTTTCTGTTCACCAATTAGTCAAATACCTTGAGAATAGAAATAAAGTTCAGAAAACGTCTAGGACACAGTTTTCCTAAGCCATGGGACATTTTCATCATCAGAAAGAGAGCCTGTGTGCTAGTTAAAGGGCTAGGAACATAAGGCTAGGAACAGAGCCCTGGAAAGATGTGAATCCATTGTTGTGTCTAACACAGAGCAGTTGCTGATCACTATTGATCATATGGATGAAATCTTGGTGTGGAGTTCAATTTATAAAAGCATCACTATCTCCTTAAACTCTTAGCCCATGAAAACATTTGCTTCTGAAGAAAAAATAAGTGAAGTAGTATTTGTAGAAAAGTGATCATGCTCTATCAGACACTAGCATTTGGGCACAGAAAGTAGACTGAAACGTATACAGACATTTGGAATAATTGCTCTAAGAGTTCAGATGCCATGTTTAAAATTCAGGAATGGCTTAAAAGATATATAGAAATGCCAAACTGATTAATTTAGTAAACTTTATTAGAATCTATCCTATTCATTATGGAAACATCAACTGAATTATGACTATAACCAGTAGATATTCTGTGTAATGGAGTCTTGCTTCATGGATTCTATGAGGAAAAAAGAGAAGGTGTGTGGGTTGCACACATTTTCTCTTTCCATGGATCCTCCAAAGCTTGGCTTTAAAAAAAAATCTGCCTACTCAACTTCCTTTTATTTCTGGCAACAATTTGTTCTTTTACTAATTATCCCCATCTGTATCAGATTTGGTACTTTTTGTTTTTGACTTTTCACTACATGCTTTTACATCTGTATAACTTTTTTACGGAATAGGAGGTCTTAATGTTGGAGATCTTTTGGAAAGGGTGAGGAAAATGGAATTATCTGGAAAGAAAACAACAACAACAACAACAAAACCCCACTACTTAAAGCCATCACTCTGGCATTTGCTTCAATAAAAACAGAGCCTATTCTATTGGTATTGAGCATTTGGGTATCATTTCAGTTCTAAAAAAACTTATTTTTCCTTCCTTTTTGTTGTATTTCATAGAATGACAATGTGCCAAACTACAATTTAAAGTTTCCAGTTTTCCCCTTTGGAAGATTTTGCCTACCGCCTATGAGGATGTTCAGAAGTTGTTTCATGTTGCTCAGCAAAGAATGATGCTTAAATAGGAATGAGCAGGGAATAGGGCTTGAGCATATTATTTTGCACTGGTTATTTGGTAGTAATTAGAAAAACACACACAAAAACACACACAGAAAAAATTAAGTTAAACCAAGAAAAGAATATGCTTGGAAAAGCAGTTATTTTCATGACAGATTAGGAAGCACAGAGTAATGCTAAGGAGCTTTAACATGTTATAGCTGCTCATGTTACACTTGCTCTGTTTGACATTATTTTTCTCACTTTTGCAGTGACTTCATCATTTATGTTTAAGGAAAATATTGAAAAAGAAACTAGCAGTAATCCCTTAATCTACAGTTGGTACATTTCCTAGGAAGTTCAAAAGATTGAAAGTGACAGTTTGGGTAAATCTTAATGCACATTTCCATAAGCTGTAATATAAATTTTTTGAAATGGCAAAAGCACATTTACCTTTCAATTAGAAAAACTTGCTAATGTAAAGTATATAGTCCCGACAACAAAACTTTCCAAGATGCTTGACATGAACAATAATAGTAAAAGTCACTCACCTTTGCTACTTTCAATCTTAGATTGAAATTGTAGCTTTGCACATATTTACATATGGTCTTTGAAAAGGTCTTTATTATTGTGGAAGAATAGGCATATTTAGCAAGATTTTAGGCTGCTTTTAAGTTGTAAATATTTAGATATATGGTATGGGGGGTTTTTATTTGAATTGTTGTAAGCGCCACAGATATTAGAGGCGTGAATGTTTGAATCAATTACTATCCTACTTACAGTCCAGAGAGGTTAATTCCTATAAATTTTGTAAGCATGTATGTTTCTTCTAACAGAAAAAGGACTTGAAAAGGTCAATTGATTCATGCCACTCACTGAGTTTGAGAGCACATCAGACTTTCTGTCTTATTTCCTAGCCTATGGGATAACTAAAAGAATTAGTCATGTTTTATGAATTCTGTATATAAAGGATTAAATGCTAATCAAACATAATAAATCCTTTCATTATCCTTGTGAATGACTCACCAAATTTCTAAAATCATCTAAAACCAAATCTCAACAGTATATACCAATGAACTCTTCCCTACCTTTGGTTTTGAACTTTAGTGCCCGGAGCAAGTGATTTTACTTATGAAATTATGTGACATATTGTCTCTGTAAAACACCACTCTTCTTTATTCTTATTCAGGTGCCTTTACCCCTAGTTCTTATTCCTACTCTGCTCATGGATTTATGTATATGCTTGTAATTCTTTTGTTTTATGAAATTTTTGTTGTTTTATGTGCATCTAATTTTATCAGAGATAAAATTGTATAACAGATTTCATTGTCTCCACTCTTCCACTAAATGTTAAACTTAATTTATTTTTAAATTAAAAAAAATTTTTTTGAGACAGGATCTCATTATGTAGTTCAACTGACCTGGAACTAACTATGCAGCCTAGGCTGGTATCAAACTCACAGCGATCCTCCTGTCTCAGCCTCCCAAGTGCTGGGATAACAGTTGTGTGCCACCAGGCCCAGCTTCATCCTTAAATTTTAAAGATTAATCTAGTTATGTGTTTTATTACCCTCCAGTTATGTATTTCTTTATAGAATGTACTTGTTTTTCCATATAGAGAATCTAACACCCATGAATAACTCTATTCTTCTTACTGTTACATGATAATTTTGTGTTAATATCACATGTGTCACTGGTTCACTCTGTTATTTAGGT